CCTGCAGCCTTTGGGTGACAGAGGGACGCTCCAACCAACTCAGTCACACCAGCCAGGGTCCTTCCTTCCTTCCTTCCTTCCTTCCTTCCTTCCTTCCTTCCTTCCTTCCTTCTTTCCTTTCTCTCTCTCTCTCTCTCTCTCTCTCTCTCTCTCTCTCCCTCCCTCTCTCCATCCCTCACTCCCTCCCCCTTCCTTCCTCTTTCTTTCCTTCTTTCTTTCTTTCTTTCTTTCTTTCTTTCTTTCTTTCTTTCTTTCTTTCTTTCTTTCTTTCTCTTAAACTTCACCAAGGATGTTTTCCCATTGATTTTTAGAGAGAGTGGAAGAAGGGGGAGAGACACAGACAAAGAAACATCAATGTGAGAGAGACACATCGATTGGTTGCCTCCTGCACCCACCCTGACCAGGTTGAGCCTGCAACCTGGATATGTGCACTTGAACAGAATCAGACCTGTTTTACTTCAGTTCACAGGCCGACGCTCTATACACTGAGCCAAACCAAAGAGGGCGGACTCTTCTTCTTCTTCTTCTGCTAATTCTTCCTCTCCTTTGTCTGCTTCTTCTGAGAAGTCAACGACAACTTCGGCAAAACCGAAGGATTAGGCTAAGAGTGCGAAGAAGGAGAAGGTAAAAACGAAGGAAAAGGAGGAGCTGGCCAAAGCCAAGCCAGCCTGTAAAGCAGATAAAACACAGGTCACACAGAGGTGCTTGGAGGAGCGGCAGAGGCAGCAGATGATCTTGGAGGAGATGAAGAAGCCCACAGAGGATATGTGTCTGACTGACCACCAGGTAGTGAGGGGTCCGGGGTCCTGGGTCCTGGAGGGGCCAGTTGTGAAGACACTTGGATTAAGGAAGACAAACTGTGGTCTTCCAGTCTTTGACAGAACCCCCTACCACTTTTATCCTTACAGCCTCTGCCTGACTTCTCACACATCCCTGGTCTGATCCTGCCTAGCGAGACCTTCTCAGACTGCTTGACCATTGTGGAGTTCCTGCACAGCTTCGGCAAGGTGCTGGGCTTTGACCCTGCCAAAGATGTACCTAGTTTAGGGGTCCTGCAAGAGGGACTCCTGTATCAAGGCGACAGTGTGGGCGAGGTGCAAGATCTGCTGGTGCGGCTCCTGAAGGCTGCACTCTATGATCCTGGCTTGCCCTCCCACTGTCAGGTGAGATCCTTTCCAAGGCAGGCTGGGAGGGCCTGGGATCCAATGCTTTTTCTCAGTTTTGCTCTCTCTCTAAGTTAAAAATATGAAAGCACCTCCCTTAAGTGATTGGGACAAATGAAGAGATATAATTTGTTTTCCTTGTATTTTTTCCTTCTGTTTCATTTTCCTTCCTGACCTCCCTCTGCTTATTTTGTTCATCTTTCTTTTACTGCTTTTCTTTTGCACCTTTCCTTTGTCCTCTCTCATCTTGTCCTAGCAACTTTCATTCTTTTCCTATCTTAACCCCAGTTCTCCTATATTTTCCTCTTCCAGATTCATGCAACTTGAGTTGTTCCTCTTTCTCTCTTAACTTCCATTATGTTCTCCTCCAAACAGTCCTTAAAGATCTTGGGGGAAAAGCTGTCGGAGATCCCACTGACGAGAGACAATGTATCTGAGATCCTGCGCTGCTTCCTCATGGCATATGGAGTGGAGCCAGTCCTCTGTGACAGCCTACGCACCCAGCCTTTTCAGGCCCAGCCACCCCAACAGAAAGCTGCTGTCCTGGCCTTCCTTGTACATGAGCTCAATGGCTCCACCCTCATCATCAAGTGAGGAGCAGGGGTGGGGATGGTGATTGTATGCCTGGGTCAGAATCAGACAGGGAGGGGTTCAGCCATCTAGAGTCCTAGGTGATGTGTATCCACTGCCAGGCTCTGAAGGTGCTAGAGTGACCTGGGACCGAATCTTAGCGCCTTCCCCAGAGAACCTAAGCCTTCCTCTGCCATTTGTTCAATCTAGGCTTTAGGCTGCAGCCCCTTTTCCCTTGAACTTCCCTTTTTGTGTGTGCCACCAGGTTACCTCAAAATCCCATTCCCTTTTCTCTTGCAGTGAGATTGACAAGACTCTGGAGAGTATGTCCAACTACAGGAAAAACAAGTGGATTGTTGAAGGCCGGCTCCGGAGGTAGGGAAAGGACAAGAGGGTAGGGTCCAGAGGGAGAAAGGGAGAAAGGGGGAAGCTTAGTCAGGACTTTTGCCCAGATTTTGATGCTTCTTAGTCCCTCCCCTGAGGTTGGAACCTTACCCCAGGACTCAGGATTCCAGGTATTCCTTTTGTGGTAATATCACATTCCTCACCGTAGTTTCCTTTAATCTCTATTTTAAGACTGAAAACTGCTCTGGCCAAGCGAACTGGGCGGACTGAAGTAGAGATGCAGGGGCTAGAGGAAGGCCTAGGGCGGAGGCGCAGCTCTCGGATCATGGAGGAGACTAGTGGCATGGAAGAGGAAGAAGAGGAGGAGAGTACAGCAGCTGTCCATGGCCGTAGGGGTCGAAGAGATGGAGAGGTACTAGCCTCAGACCAAGGAATATTGGAGTTGGGAAATGGAATATAGTTGACTCTTAAACAACATGGGTTTGCACTGTGCGGGTCCACTTACACGCAGATTTCTAAAAATAAATATACAGCCCTAGCCGGTTTGGCTAAGTGGATAGAGCATCAGCCAGTGGATCAAGGGGTCACGGGTTTGATTCCGGTCAAGGGCACGTATCTTGGTTGCAAGCTCCTCCCTGGCCCAGGCCCTGGTCAGGGCTTGTGCAGGAAACAACCCATTGATGGCTTTCCCTCACATCAGTGTTTCTCTCTGTCTTTTCCTCTCTTCCGCTCTCCCTAAAAATCAATGGAAAAATATCCTCGGGTGAGGAGTAACAAAAATAACAATAATAATAAAAAAAATAAATAAACATACAGTCAGTCCTCCATATACATAGGTTATATCTATGGATTCAATCAACTTTGGATTGAAAACTACATATTTTCAGTCTACAGTTTGGAGTCTGAGTGTATGCATTATTTTACATGAGAAACTTGAGCATCTGTGGATTTTGATATCTGTAGAGCGTCCTGAAACCAATCCCCTGCAGATACCAAGGAACAATTGTAGTTTAGTTTTAGGGGAGTAAAAAATTATTTTTGAATTTTTTACTGTGGGGAAGGAGGGTGTCAGCATTTTGTTGTTGTTGTTGTTAATCCTCATCTGAGGATATTTTTCCATTGATTTTTAGAGAGAGTGGAAGGGACAAGGAGAGACAGAGAGAGACAGACACATCAGTTGGTTGCTTCCCGCACGAGCCCTGACAAGGGCCAGGTACATGCAACCGAGGTACATGGCCTTGACAGGAATCGAACCTGGGACCCTTCAGTCCGTGGGCTGATGCTCTGTCCTCTGAGCCAAACCGGCTAGGTCTGGGTGTCAGCATTTTTAACTTGTCATTATTCAAGGGTTAAATGCATTTCTCTTTCTTAAATCTGATCATTCCTTTTCTCTTGTCCACTTGTTTCTTCTCCAGGTTGATGTCACAGCATCTAGCATCCCAGAGCTAGAACGCCAGATAGAAAAACTCAGCAAGGTATTAATGATGCTTCTAACCTCCCAGGAGCTGGAGATACAGGCTGGGCGAGAATTGATCACCTTATGAGTTGGGCCCAGATGGTATCAGTTTTATAGGGAAGCTGAGAACTAGTGCTCTCCTCCCATATACTGAATGAAATCACCACTGTCACTCTAGAAATACGTTTTTTATTCATCTTCCTTTTCCATTGTCTACCCAGCGTCAGCTCTTCTTTCGAAAAAAGCTGCTTCACTCATCCCAGATGCTTCGGGCATTCTCCTTGGGTCAGGACCGCTACAGACGCAACTACTGGGTGTTGCCCTATTTGGCTGGTATCTTTGTGGAAGGAACAGAGGGGAGCTTAGGTAGGTGTGTCATGGGAGCCTGAATTGAGACCTATTGAACAAAAGTTCAGTAATTTCTTTTCCTTTGCCTAGTCACTTAGGTGTCTTTCATTTTATGAGAATCAGTATTCCATAGTGGTTAAGAGCATAGGCTGTAGAGGAAGACCGCTTGTGTACCTGCTCTGCCATTTACCAGCTGTATACTTTAGTTTCCTAATTTATCAAATGGAGATGATAATAGTATATATATTTCATAGGAGTATTGAGGGGTTTAAAATTAGTTAATGTTCTTAGAATAGAGCTTGGCACATAGTTGGTTCTTCATAAATGTTAGCTTACAGTTATACTGCTGCTGATTACTTGGGAGAATAGTATTTCCTTCCCAGATACTGTGTTCATTGGCGTATAAATTCCAGTAGAATCTCATTAAGACCAAGAGTAAAAGAAAGTGTATATCCTGCATCTATACACCCTTTTTCTTTCTTCTTATGTATCGGTGTATGTCTTAAGCTCTTTACTTTTCTTTACAGTTCCTGAGGATATGATAAAGCAGGAAACTGACTCCTTAAAAGTGGCTTCCCACTCAGCGCCCAGCCCAGCCCCCTTTTCTCTGAAGAGGGAATTAGCTGGCTCCAGCACCTCTGCCAGTTCTCCTGCCCGGGCCCGAGGCCGCCCTCGGAAAACTAAGCCTGAGTCTATGCAACCTAGGCACCTTAAGTCTCCTGTTAGGTGTCAGGCTTCAGAAGAGCCCCAAGTCCAACTTCAGCCCGAGACTCAACCCTACCCTCCACTTCAGGCTTATGCCCAACCCCAGCTTCAGTCCCAGCCTCTAACCCATAATGGGTTCCTGGAGCCAGAAGGCTCGCTTTTGTCTCTGGGTCAGAGCCAGCATGACCTCAGCCAGTCAGCCTTCCTGTCTTGGCTGAGCCAGACTCAGAGCCACGGCTCCCTGCTGAGCAGCTCAGTCCTCACACCTGATAGCAGCCCTGGAAAACTGGATCTGACCCCATCACAGCCTCTGGAGGAGCCAGAGCCTGAAGAGGCAGAATCCAGCCCTGATTCTCAAGCCCCCTGGTGTAACTTCTCAGCCCAGATGCTCTGCAATGCTGCCCCTACACCACCCCCTGCAGTTTCTGAGGACCAGTCCACTCCCTCCCCTCAGCTACCTGTCTCCTCCAAGCCAGTAAGTAGCCAGAATTAGTGGTGTGCACTTGACTTCCTCTTGCCACAGGCTCCATTGCCTGGCTGTGGACTGTTGCTAAGATTGGGGGAAGGAATAGGTAGCCATTAGGGTCCTATAAACATGAAACACCCTCATCCCCTGTGTTTCATCTCATGCACAGGTGAATAGGCCCAGTGCTGCCAGCCCCTGTTCTCCAGTGCAGCGGTCTTCCACCCCCTTGCCTGGGGTGGCTCCTAAAAGGCGAACAGGAGACCCTGGCGAAACATCACAGAGTCCCAAAGGGCTGGGACAACCAAAACGGAGAGGGAGACCTCCCAGCAAGTTCTTCAAACAGATGGAGCAGCGTTACCTAAACCAGCTGACAGCCCAGCCTGTTCCTCCTGGTGAGCGACCTTGGGGTGCAATGGGGGTAATAGTACAGGTAGGAGTGGCATCAGATGTGGGCTGTGTGATTCATGCTGGTGCCCACCCCACCCCAAATACATAAATTCTGTCCACAGAGATGTGCTCAGGCTGGTGGTGGATCCGAGATCCTGAGACATTGGATGCCACGCTCAAGGCCCTGCACCCACGAGGAATCCGAGAGAAGGCCCTTCACAAACACCTCAATAAGCACAGGGACTTCTTGAAGGAAGTCTGCCTGCGGCCCTTAACTGGTAAGATGCTTGGACCCAGCCTGAGCTTCAGAGCCTAAGTAAATGCTGAATTGCTGCTGTGTACAATGCCCTGGTGGCCTTTTACTCTGTGTTCTGTCTTCTCAGATTCTATCTTTGAGCCCAGTCAGTTATCTGCTTTTCAAGAAGGGGTTATGAGCTGGTCCCCCAAAGAGAAGACGTATGAGACAGACCTGGCTGTGCTTCAGTGGGTAGAGGAGCTGGAACAGCGGGTCATCCTGTCTGACCTGCAGATTCGGGTACACAGGCTGGCACTGGGCAGGGGGTTGTTGAAGGGTGTTACTCTCTTGGGAAAAATCTGTGGGTCTCTCCTTCACAAGTGATCTCCTGTGACCATAATGGGTCACATTTTTCTTTATGCTTAATTTTCTTTACAATGAGGAGTTCTATCCCTCTCTCCCACCTGCAGGGCTGGGCATGTCCTAGCCCAGACTCTGTTCGTGAAGACTTGGCCTACTGTGAGCACCTACCTGACTCCCAGGAGGATATCACCTGGAGAGGTCGAGGCAGGGAAGGACTCGCCCCCCAGCGTAAAACTACCAACCCTCTGGACCTGGCTGTGATGCGACTGGCTGCCCTGGAGCAGAATGTGGAGCGGCGGTACCTACGGGAGCCCCTCTGGCCAGCTCATGAGGTTGTGCTAGAGAAGGCCCTGCTCAGCACACCCAGTGCTGCCCCTCAGTGCACCACTGCAGAGATGTGAGTGTCCCCTCTCCCCTCCCAATTCTTGGTCTTGGGAAGAAGTTTAATGGATTCTACTCATCCAAGATCACCACTTTCTCCCTCCAGATCATATGAGATCACCCCTCGCATTCGGGCCTGGCGCCAGACACTGGAGCGGTGTCGGAGTGCAGCCCAGGTGTGCTTGTGCCTGGGCCAGCTGGAGAGGTCCATTGCCTGGGAGAAGTCCGTCAACAAAGTGGTAAGAGGCTGGGGAGCCAATCAGCGCAAGTGGGTGGGGTCACTGCAGAAGGAGGCTCACCCTGCCTTCTCACAACCTTGGTCTAGACCTGTCTAGTGTGCCGGAAAGGTGACAATGATGAGTTTCTTCTGCTCTGTGATGGGTGTGATCGTGGCTGCCACATATACTGCCATCGGCCCAAGATGGAAACTGTTCCAGAGGGAGATTGGTTCTGTGCTGTCTGTTTGGCCCAGGTAAGCCTTCTGCTCTCTCATTCCCACTCCTAAGCAGAAGTCAGAGATTTTCTTTCTCATCCTATTGACTACCAACCCTACAAATACCACTTTTTCCCACGCCTCAGTCTGTCGTTGGAAAGATCTTCCGACTGGGTGCTAGGAGACCTTGGGTTCCTGAGTGCTGTTCCTCCTTTGGACAAGTCACATAGATTTTATAGCCTCATTTGCTTTCTTCTGTGAAATGGGAGTGATTATACTTTCCCCTTTCCCTACTATATTGGGTTACGTGAATAAATTCACATGCTGCCGTATGTGTGAAAGTATTTGGAAGCTGATAACACTTAGACATGTAGGAATTGTAATGAACTGGAGGGCAAGCCAAGTACATCTTCAGATGTTGCTGATCTCTTCTTTTTCTACCTGTAGCAGGTAGAAGGAGAATTCACTCAGAAGCCTGGCTTCCCAAAACGAGGCCAGAAGCGGAAAAGTACTTACATGCTGAACTTCCCAGAGGGTGATGGCCGCCAACGCCGTGTACTGTCGAGGGGCCGAGAAAGCCCAGCAGTGCCTCGGTACTCGGAGGAAGGGCTGTCACCATCGAAGCGGCGTCGGCTCTCCATGCGGAACCATCACAGTGATCTCGCATTTTGCGAGTGAGTTGGGTGGTTCTGGGGACAATTGGCTCTACCTTTGCCAGAGTAAAAGGCTGGGAGGGTCAGTGTATTTGCTTCCTGAGATGCAGCCATCACTGTCCCTTTAATGGTAGGATTATCTTGATGGAGATGGAGTCCCATGATGCAGCCTGGCCTTTTCTGGAGCCTGTGAACCCACGTTTGGTGAGTGGGTACCGGCGCATTATCAAAAACCCTATGGATTTTTCCACCATGCGGGAGCGGCTGCTCCGAGGAGGGTGAGTAGACATCAGCACCTCTCCTGACTCCTGTTACTGCTCCACCTCCTGCCCAACTCACAGCTTGGCCTCCCCCTGCCCAGGTACACCAGCTCAGAGGAGTTTGCGGCTGATGCGCTTCTGGTCTTTGACAACTGCCAGACCTTCAATGAGGATGACTCTGAAGTGGGAAAGGCTGGGCACATCATGCGACGCTTCTTTGAGAGCCGCTGGGAGGAGTTTTATCAGGGAAAACAGGCCAATCTGTGAGGCAAAGGTGGTGGGGAGTCACCTGTGGCATCTCCCCGCGCCCTCCAAACAAAAACCTGCCATTCTCACCTGCTGATGCTGCCCTGGGGCTCGACTCAAATCTGATATATATATATATATATATATATATCTGCTATTTGACTCTCCCTTTGGCAGCACCCTACATCCTCTTATCCCTACACCCCTTCTCCCTTTCCTCCTCTTGCTCCTCAAATAAGAGGGGCAGAAATGAGGTCCTTCTGGACTGAAAGCCAAAAAAAGAAAGAAAAAAATAATTTTCCTTTCTGTTTTATTTCCTAATTAAAAATGAGGAGGAGGAAAGAAGTCCCTACTTCCTCCCCCAGATTCCTCTCCTTCCCTGTACATGCCCCAGCATTCTGGGGCTGTTTAACAATAGCAATAGTTCTAGTGAATGTGTGAAACCGAGAAACACTCTGTACTGTGTGTGGACCCGCAGTGACGGCCAGTAAAGTGGACTTAATTCCCAAGTGTGTCGAGCCGGACACCGGGCCCTGAACATGCTGCTTCCATGTTCAGTCCCTCCCTTGCTTCTCACTTTCTCTCAGTTTTTCACCTTCCGTCCCCTACCCCCTTTCAGATTTTCTGTCATCCAATAATGTAAAACTATCGTGTACGGGTTCCTTCATTCTTTTCCAAATTTTTTTTCCCTTCAGAGGAAAAACGAAGTTCAGAGGTCCCTGTCTTTCTGTCCTCATCTTCTGCCAATAGCTATCCCCTCTCATGTGTTGGGTACTCCTCACATGCCGAGTTTCTAGCCTCTTCTGAAACTCAGTAGCTGGGAGAGGACAGGGAGGCACCCTGGACCCTGGGCCTTGCAGCCTCCTTCCCCACCTCTTACCCAAACCTCCCTCTTGGGAACTCCTCAGGGACAACTACTGCTGAGTTTGGGCGCACCCCAAGATGGAGGCCAGGTAGCAACCTACTGGCCTGAGGTGTGTGTGTGTGTGTGTGTGTGTGTGTGTGTGTGTGTGTGTGTGTAAGAGAGAACACTGTTAATTGTGCCCCTGTATTGTTTGAAGGCATCCATTCAATTTCCTCAACTCTCTGTTTTTAGTCCCATCTTTCCCATTGTTCAAACCATCATATTTTTGTCTTTGGGAAACCACAGGAACAGTTTTTCTGGGTACAAGGCTGTGGCTCTTCTCTCTCCCAGTCATTTCTGTTCCAGCCTCTAAACTGTGCAATCTTTCAACAGGAACTCCCTCTCCTTTCAGTGGCGTTGAGTCTTAAGCTTTTGCAGGGAGAGGGGTAGAACTGGATTTTTCCTAATCCCGTGAGCTTCTGGGGGTTTAGTTGTGCTTTCCTTCCCTTATCTACTTCCTACCCCAGGACCCTTCCCTGCAGCAGAGAACCTGGAGCACAAAGAGTAGGAGGAGGGGTTTTGGGTCCACCACTGCCCTACATGTGACTGTGTTCAAGTTAAGTCCCAACGTGCGAGAGGAAAGCTGCTAACTCCCAGCTATAGCCATGGGGCCCAGCCCCCTGCTTTCCTGCTCAGCAGAGCCCCTCCCATCAGAAATTACGGGTACTTGCACTGGGGAGGTGGCTGCTGGCTGGCCCAAGCAGAGAGCTAAGGCACCCAGGACATGTTCCATTGGGGGAGGGTGCCAGTGAGGTGGAGCATTCCTTGTACTTCTGGCAGCACTGAATAGCCACGGGGTGGGGGGCAGTGTGGTCCTGGGGCAGCCCTTTCTTATTCCTTTATGCCCCTTCTCCCCCATAGCCTATTTCTAAAGTCGCCTTTTCTGTCAGATAAACCTCAAAACTTTTAATTTTATTCGAGATTTTTTTTTTGCTTTTAAATAAGAGGTGGATTGAAGAATATTTGAATTGACTTTATATTATGCATAAATATTTATATTTTATCTAAATAACTGCGCTGTAACAAACTTTGTGTTAGTCAAACGTTTGAAACTGTTATAGTTGGGGCTCTTCTTTTCTCCCCATAGCAGTTTTCCCCTGGTGTAAAGTGTCCTGAAGTAATTTTATTGTTGGAGGCAAGGTGGACAGGGGAGTGAAATCTCAATTGTTCCTACTTGGTGTTCCTCTCCCAGCTCCATCTCTTTCCCTAGGGACCAGGCACTCTGAAGGTGGGGTGGAGTCCCAGCCTCAGTGTGCAGTGGGGGCTGGGGGCGGGTGGTGGAGTAGGGCATGATCAAAGGGGCCATTTCTCACTTTTCTTTCCTCCTCTTCACTGCCCCTTGAGCTAGGTGGATTTTCTCTTGATAAATAAGAGTATTTGGTAGGGAAGGCAGGTTAAAAAAAAACACAAAAAAACTCACTCCCTACTCCTTTGTTTCCCCTCCCCCATCAGTCTGGTAACAGGAAGAAACCACACCATCAACACCAACAAGTTTCCACGTTCCTTTTACATCAAAAGGGACTTGACTTTTTATATAACCAAATGTGGTGTTTTAGTGACTTTTTGATAATGTACAGTTTTTTGTGAATTTAAATTTATTTCTTTCTATATTTTTAGGACCAACCTCATTTTTAATAAGGTTTAAAAAAAGAAAAAAAAGTCTAGAGAAAAAACTCCTGTTTTTGCCATGTGATGTTCCACAAGTGCAGCTGTAGAAAAGTGCTTGTCAGTTGAATAAAAACCACATTTGATAGAGATTCTCAAGACTCTGTGTATTTATCTTCCCTTCAACATCGGTTCTCACGTTTGCCTAGAGGGGCACACAAGGTGTGAGGGTGAGTATGACTGGTTTGGTGTAGGAGACAGCAGGCAGGACAGCAATATGCTCTTAACCTTCCAAGGTTTATCCCAAAACTCCAGGCTTGGCCCTTCCTGTACAAGAGGTAATCCCAGAGCAGAACTTCTGCTCCTGGGGTCGGAACGGGATCCCAGTGCCTCAGGCCAAGGTGCTGGAGCAACACGGGACTCTGTGCCTGGTTCCTCCATGTGCGATGGGGCTTTGGCCTCCTAAGCTGCCACCTGTGTTCCCGTAGTAGCAAGTGTGGGCCCATCACCAGCTTCCAGCTTCCACCCATGGATAAGACACCTGGAGGCAGATGTTCGTGTTTTATGTTTTATTTAAAAACAAAGGTTGAAATGAGACAAAATGAAGCTCTACCAAATTGTAGGGGAGGAACATGAGAATACCAAAGGTCAGAAAAGGAAGAATAAGCTAAATGGGTGGCACAGGCATAGACTTGGGAAGAGAATAAAAATAGAAGCCTCTGGATAAAGAGGTGTGTTTGAGTACAAATGAAGCTTTTTTCCTGTCGAAGGTGCTAAGTGCATGCAAGAGAGCACTCACCACCCAGAAAGTGTGTGTGAGGGGACGGGACACCAGTCGTGGGGAGAAGACGTGGCTGGAAAACCTGACACCCTCCAGGCTGGAAGTTTCATTTTGGTGACCCTCTAACCTACATGGAATAAGATGGAGAAGGAGCAGTCTGTTCACAAACGCCCTCTTTGGTGCTTGCTTACCTTCTCAGCTACATGGCAGCCACTGGCCAAGTCACCCAGAGTCTGAGCTCTGCTCTGTCCCATGTGTTCCTAGGCCAGGCTGTCGTTAGTTACCCCGGGCCCACCACAGCAAGACTAGGGGAGCGTGCACACCGTTCTAGGGTGACCAGAATGTTGGCACTTGGATCATGAACCATTTCTGACCTCATGAAGGTCAGAAAGAGTAGAGGAAAGCAGGTATGCCTTCGTCCTCCTAAGAAAGGAAGGGGGAAAGCTGAGTCAATATGAGGGTTCTGTTGATGCTTGGAAGGACCTAAAATGCAAGTAAGCACAGAAATGGAGTAGTTGGCTTAAGAGGGAATTGGGGAGAATAGGACAAGGCATAAGATTGAGGACCTAGCCCTTACAGGTTGACTTTCGTAACACCACCCTTTTGCTCTGAAGCTAGTCTATCGGAGCCGGGGGCAAGTTTAGACCTGATTTCCCCATCCAAGTTTATTGCTCTTGGAAAAGGTCAAAGTGCAATGCTGCTGCTCTCCCAGAGGTGGAGCACACGTGTGAGCAGCAGTGACGTTTTTTCTAGAAAACTAGATCTCTGTCCAGGACCGCACAGCATTCCATTCCAGCAAGGCCTCACAGCACCTTTGTGCTGCAGAGTACCCACCCACACGGAGGCCCCCACAGGGCTGACACTGCAGCAGCAGGGAGTGAGCATTGCAGGCACGAGGGGGTGAAAGAGTTCACTGATCCGTAAGTTAGAAAGGGAAGAGAAATGAAACTGGGCTGCAGTGGCCCCGCCCAGGGATGCCCTGTGGCCCAGTAAGGTCTAGTTTTCACCCTCAATGCAAATTAATGTCTTCCTACAACCCCCACTTATTACAAGAGCTATTCCTGCTTCAGAGCCACTAGGCTTTCAAGTCTGGGCAGCTCTTCAAATTCTTTGGTTAAAAAATAACATTTCTCCTCATCATTCCCACATCTTCCCTAACCTCTACTCACCCTCCAAAAAGTCCACAAGCAGCCTGGGGTCTGCATCATCTCAGCGTGAGGGGCAGTAATAACACTGGCATGAGATGGGACAGGCAGGCTTTGAGCCTAGTAAAGAACAAGATCATTTGAGGAAGTGTCTTGAGGATGTTCTATTTGAAAACAAAAATACAAGGTATTAAAATATTTTTTAAGAGTGTTATGAGCCCCGACCAGTTTGGCTCAGTGGGTAGAGCATCGGCCTTCGGACTGAAGGGTTCCAGGTTCGATTCTGGTCAGGGGCATGTACTTTGGTTGCAGGCACATCCCCAGTGGGGAGTGTGCAGGAGGCAGCTGATTGATGTTTCTAACTCTCCTTCTCCCTCCTCTCTGTAAAAAAATCAATAAATATATATATTTTTAAAAAGTGTTATGAGCATCTGTAATGTGGGGAAGAGATGTGACATGCAGAGAAACACATCTGGGCTCTATGAAGACAATTCAGAATCACTATGCAGTAGTGTTTAAAGCGCCCAGCCCTAGGTTGTGAATTTGAAGGCTCCCCTACAGTTCCCCTGCCACCAGTAGGCTATTTCACACAAAAAAGTATCCCTTATTCCTCCCCTCTCCTTTATCCAATCACTCGCCCATGTTTGACCTGATCCAAATGAACTAACAGCCCTAGCCAGTTTGCTCAGTGGATAGAGCGTCAGCCTGCAGACCAAAGGATCCCAGGTTCGATTCTGGCCAAGGGCACATACCTCGGTTGCAGGCTTTGGAGGCAACCAATCAATGTGATTCTCTCACATTGATGTTTCTCTGTCTTTCCCTCTCCCACTCGCTCTAAAAATCAATGGGGGTTGGGGGGAGAAATGAACTAACAACTAGAAGAGAATATGAGGTAACCCAAAAACACCAAAAAGAAATTTCATATCCTAGCTGGTTTGGCTCAGTGGATAGAGCGTCAGCCTGCCGACTAAAGGGTCCCGGATTCGATTCTGGTCAAGGGCACATGCCTGGGTTGCGGGCTCATCCCCAGTAGGGGGCGTGCAGGAGGCAGCCGATTGATGATTCTCTCATCATTGATGTTTCTAACTCCCTCTCCCTTCCTCTCTGAAATCAATAAAAACGTGTTTTAAAAAATTGCATAGTGCCACTAACAACTACAAAAATAACTTCAGGCTCTCCATACTTCCCATGCTCAACCAAACATGCCTAAGCGAGAAACACACAACACAATTCATTAAGTAGATTCACATGAGAACACACAAAAGGTAACTTCAGCATTTAAAACAAAGTCACATTTAAACTTTTTAAATACGGAGAAAGTAGAATCAGGAGTTCTGGGAGGCAGAGGAGGGGCAGCAGAGACAGCAACAGTTTCCATGTGTGCAAGGTCCCCACTGCACTGAACCTCAGTAAGGCTTCTCCAAGCCACTATCCAATGAGCAGGAGTCTGGGTTTGTTTTCTCTTCCTTCAAGACCACAGACAAGAAATCTATAGTGTACTTCCGTTAAGTAGGAAATGCCCAGCTACACCCTCTAAAAGGTTATTGAACTTGGGCTGTTTTATATTGGATCGGCCCTTCCTGAGGTTGGAAGCACCCATGAGAAATTAATACTGGCAACTCTGTCCTTGACACTTTATATCCTACCCATTGCCCCCTCTCCCCCACTTACCCCCAGGATGTACAAAAGGACCATCTAAGGGTAGGGGACATTTGGACCCCCAATTCTGGAATGGGTGGGAGGGGAAGGAAAGCTGGGCCCAATACAGCTTCTTCCCCCTCCCCGCCCCCCAACATCATATCCTTCCTCTCCTACGGCCAGCCTAATGAACACCTGTTTCTCCATTCTCTGTCATTTGGCCTTCAGTCCGATTACCTGGTGGAAAGGCACCTGACCTTGAAGTGAAGGCGAGCAGAGCTTTCCTTTCCGTGTATAAGGAAGGGGCTGGGAGAAGAGGCGGTATTGTACTTCCTAGAACAGTGATGGCGAACCTATGGCACGCGTGTCAGAGGTGACACGCGAACTCATTTTTTTGGTTGATTTTTCTTTGTTAAATGGCATTTAAATATATAAAATAAATATCAAAAATATAAGTCTTTGTTTTACTATGGTTGCAAATATCAAAAAATTTCTATATGTGACTCGGCACCAGAGTTAAGTTAGGGTTTTTCAAAATGCTGACACGCCGAGCTCAAAAGGTTCGCCATCACTGTTCTAGAAGATGTGCAAATGTTTTCTCCTCTCTGTCTCCATATGCATAGAGTGAGGACTTGCAGAGGAGATGGAGTTCAAGAGAAAATATAGGCTTTTTTTAAAGTACTCTTAAAAAAAATAAAAGACTCCTGATATTGTAAATGATGAGATGGGATTTACTGTCCTTTCTTATCCTACCTCCCTGTTGTCTTTCCACAAAAAGGAAAAGTACTGGTTCCCTGGCAAAGGGTCCCGAACACCCCAGGGCAGGACAGGTGGCCCTGGCCAGCGTCAGAGAGCTTTGTCCTTTCCCACCCCTGCACGGTACACACACCCAACAGTCCCCACGCTGATCCCTCTGGATGTGAGTGTGCAAACAGCACAGCCTTTCAAGGGCATGCAGAGCTGTCAAAGGTCAAAGCCTGAGGAAACGTCAAGGACCCCATTTGTTACTTTCAACTAGTTGCATGAGTGTCAAAAGGCCATGTGTGTCCAGGGTTGGAGTGGGAACTTACCAAATCCTCTGATCAGGAGGCAGGGACTACACTGTCTCCATCAAGGTTTCTCATCAACCTTGGCTCTACTGACGTTTTGAGCCAGATCATTCTTTGTTGGGGGTGTGGAGGCTGCCCTGTGCACTGTAGAATGGTTAGCAGCATCCCTGGTGTCTAGCCACTAGGTGCCAGTAGCACACAACCTCTACCCCCAGGCTGGACAGTGAAAAATGTCTCCAGGGAAGGCCAAGTGGTCTCCTTTAAACAGTCAGTCTGGAGTGAAGCGAGGAAGCTTCCACAGTGGGGACGGAGCCGAGGGGGAGCCAGCAGGGTCACGACTGCAAAGGCCCCCAGCACAGCAAGGTGCGGCGGGGAGGAGAGGGACCCCTGAGCCCAGAGGAGACAGGAACCTCCAGGAAGCAGAAAAGCTGTAGCTAGAGAGGACACTTCTTCAGAGGGGGTTAGCCTGGCAGTGAGAAGAATTAGAAGTCAGTTGAGCCCATCCTTCTGTAACTTGCTAGGGACGACCTGGTCTTCATCCAAATTTGGCTCAAGTGTGACTTTCAAGGCTGTGGGGTTGTCTCCTTAATGAGCCTAGGTCGAATCTCTGCTTCCTGAAGACAAAGTCTAGTCTTTTCTCACAGGATGTGGCAGGACAACGGGAAGAAACCACGTCCATGGCATGCCTAGTGTTCTGCCTTGTTCCTTGCCCAGGCCCCTAACGATTCCATATGAAAATTTCATTCAAAAGAGAAATTCACAAAATTAAAAACTGAAAAAAAGTGAAACAGACAAGCTCTGCTGTTTGGAAAAGAGAAGAAAAATATGGATGAGAGAAGCAAAGCATAAAATGAGTGGAGAAAAGACAAGGATGTGTGAGTGACGAGCTTTATAAAGCAAAAATTTAAAACTGCATATTTTCTTAGACCAAAATAAGTCCATAACTAAACTCAGGAAGAAGGGCCCACAGTAGGAATCCTTCAATGTTTTAGCACCACTCCTTTCTTTTTTCCTTTTTTTTTAAGAGAGAAAAAATAACAAAAAAAGTTTAAAAGCCTTCTCAGATAAGTTCAACACATCAAAAAGTGTTTTTCCTAAAGATAAGAAGTTCCAGGCACCATGTCTCTTTGGGATAAGGGAATTGCATATTGCAGTTTTTAAAAAACAAAACAACACATAAAACTTTATTTGCAAAAGAAAGAAAAAAAAGGTTGTTTTGATTCCTTTGAATGTAGCACACACACAAAGTGCGGGTTCCCTGGTTCCTGAGGCTCCTTCAGGAATGGAGGAAGAGCAGAGGACACGAGTGCTGAGATTTCTTTCTCAGGCCCAGGCCGGTGAGAAACGAAGGCCAAGTGGTAGGTCTTAGCGGGGCCCACAGATGATCTGTATTCCTGGTTAGCCCTCTGGAGTCTGGGAGCATCAGCATCTCCAAGAATTCATTTGTATTCAACAAAGACGGGGAGGGGAGTCCTAAAGGAGGAATAAGCCAGAGGGTAGGGAGGGGGAATGACAAGCATGAGACCCTGTCTGACCTCAGTTGCTCAGCACACCCTAGCCCTCAGCATGTGATTCTTACCCCTGTTACTTGTTGAACTGGAAAGAATAGACCCCGTGGTCTGAGGGAGCATCCATAGTCACCTGATTTTGCTGGCCGCTGTTCTCCTGTAACCACAGCCAAAGCAGGGAGTCACCTTGTGCACCCTTATCTCCCCCGCCACCAAAGCAGCCTAAATAAAACCCACCCAGAGGCGAGTGCCTTCCCCAACCTACCCGCTCCCATACGCCAGTGTTCGGTGCACATGCGACAGCACACATGCATCGCACACCCAGCATCACCTCCCCAGCCTCTGGAGCAGCCTGTTCCCAAGAAACACTAGTGAATACAAGCCAGCATCCTGGTATTTACTATCTGGCCGAATGTCAGGAAGGGCCTCATTCAAGGACACAAAGTCTTTCCTTCCTACATTCTTCACCTACCCGCTATTTGTGCACACAGAATCAGCATCATTGTGAGAGGGAGGTCTCGAATGGGAAAGTCTGCCTCTTTCATTTTCGTATCCTCAATCCAAAGAGATTATAACGTTCTCACCTCAACTGACACGTTGGAAGAAGGCACTGGGGTGTACTGGGAGATGTAAGCTCCTTGCATGGCGGCCGCAGTTGGCATGTACTAGAATGAAAAACACCAGTGGGCTGAGTGACTCTTGGCTACACTGAAAGCACCTGGGAAGCTTTAGCAACTACTGATGCCTTCGTTCCATCCCCAGAGATATTAATTTGTCTGATTTGCTTTTTAAAAATATGTTTTTATTGATTTGAGAGGGGAAGGAGGCGAAAGGGAGGGAGGGAGAGAGTGAGAGAGAGAGAGAGAGAGAGAGAGAGAGCGAAACATCTGTCGTCTGCCTCAGGCACGCACCCTGACTGGGACTGAGCCCGCAACCTGGGCATGTGCCCTGATCGGGAATCGAACTGACCACCTTTAGGTGCACTGGATGACACTCAACCAACTGAGCCACACCAGTGAGGGCTAATTGTCAAATTTCATGTGCTTTTTAAAAGCACTTCAGAGCTACACTGGCTTAGAGAGACTTATACACACATGATGCTTTTTCTCCTCTTTCCTGCTTTCTGCGCTACCTCTCTGCCGGGAAGCCCTCCTGGCAAATCAGAAGGCAGCAGGCCTACACGAAACCTAGTGATTATTTTGTGATTATTTTGATAAGGATTTCTAGGAGAGGTGAATGATCTCCTAGGTAAACTAGTATGTAGATAGAAACACCATTTGTTTAGTTTCATGAGTAGGAATCAGTTCAAAGGAGTGGGCTGGGCAGCAGAATGGCTATATTCCTAGCTCATGGATGATTATCTTTTAAGTTTACTCCCTATTCTGAGTGTGCCCTCAATGATACTGAAGCGATTCTCATCATCATAAGTATTTATCCTGAAAAGTATTACACAAATATTCCTTCATCAGTAGGAGTTTATAATCAGAAACATTCTGCTTTACCGCGCCCGTGGTGCTGAGGGAGAGGTGGCCCAGTTGCTGGGTAAGAGGTCCCATCATGGAGGCGGGCTGGAGAGAAAGGGGGTGGTCCATCCCTGGGGTCAGAACTGAACCCTAGAGGCAGCGACAAAGGACAGGGTTAGTTGGCAGCATTCTGTGAGGCTGCCTGCAGCAGTGATCCGCGGCTACTGGGACCATTTAAAATTCCTGGAAAATGAGAGGTGAGCAGCTACCCCGTTATGCAACAGGAGTAGGCACTCTGCCCGTCTGTCTGTCTGGATCCCTGCCTAAGAATAACAAACTCACAAAACTTAAGGTCATATACTTGGGTTGCATAGGGCTTGAGCCAGAACTCAAACCCACATCCCCTCTCATCAAACCCCATCTTGCCCGCTTCTGAGCACTCACTGAAGGCTGTATGAGGTATGACTGGTGGTGCAGCCACGACGGGTTAGGTGCTTGTAGAGGCGATGTCTGAGTTACTCTCTAATGCACGCAAAAAGAAACAAGCAAAAATGTTAATTATCTAGAAACCATTGTTTTGCCCAATGATCTGACAATGTTCAGACAATCCCCCCAAAGCTGGAGTTCCCCATCACAAAATAGAAACATTAATACAGAGAACAGACTGACAGCTGTTAGAGGGGAGGGGGAGGGAGGTTGGGTGAAAAGGTGAAGACACAGACAACAGTATGGTGATTACCAGAGGGAAAGGCGGGTGGGGGAGTAGGAGAGGGGAAAGGGAGGATAAGAGGTGATGGAAGGAGACTTGACTTGGGGTAGTAAGCACACAATACAATATACAGATGATGTATTGTAGAATTGTACCCTTAAAACCTATACTTTTATTAACCAATGTCACCCCCATAAATTCAATTAAAGAATATATATACACTAGAGGCCCGATGCATAAAATTCATGCACTGCGGGGGGGGGGGGTTGTCCCTCATTCCCTCCTTATTGGCTGTGGGCGCTGCCATCTTTGAGGGCAGGTCAGTCAATTAGCATATCCCCTCCTTATTGGCTGTGGGCGCCGTCATCTTTGAGGGCGGGGCAGTCAGTTAGCATATCCCCTCCTTATTGGCTGTGGGCACTGCCATCTTTGCGATGGTGTGAGAGTCAATTAGCATATTCCCTCTTTATTAGGTAGGATATTGCTTTGGCCCTGGCCAGGTAGCTCAGTTGGTTAGAGCATAGTCCTGATACATCAAGATTGCAGGTTTGATCTCTGGTCAGAGCACATCCGAGATCAACCAACAAATGCAAAAAATAAAAATAAAAATATGTGTGTGTGTGTGTGTGTGTGTGTGTGTGTGTATATATATATATATATATATATATATATATATGATTTAAAAATATAATAGAAACATTATAAGTAAACTTGTTTTTATAAAATTAGCAACCCTTACACCACAACAAATAACCCAATTTAAAAATGGGCATCCCAGAGGCTGAAGCCCTAACAGCTTAACCTTTGTAGGGGTTCAAAATGAGTCACCCCAAGATGTGCCTCTGTACTATGCAGATTATTTTGAGCTAAAGGCAACTGAGACTTACAAGAGAAACTTCTGCCCCCCTCTTCCTTTAACTACTTAAGGAGAACTTGAATTAGGTACCTTGTCCATAATGAAAAATTATCAGAGATAACCGTTTCTGTCTACCTATTGGGCAGGGCAAACACCTGCTCTTCTTCTCATCCTGCAGTGACCTTCTGAAGCCCCCAAAGAGCCTTACCCCATCCTTAGCTCAGAATGCCATATATACCTCGTTTTAACTTTCCATCCCTGATTCTTTCATGTATGTGAAAGTTTGTCACTGATGTTGATGCTTCACCAGGGAAATCAGAACATAACCAATAGTACTGTATTTTTTAAAATCTATTTTTATTGATTTCAAAGAGGAAGGGAGAGGGAGAGAGAGATAGCAATATCAATGATGAGAGGGAATCATTGATCAGCTGCCTCCTGCATGCCTTCCTACTGGGATGGAGCCCGAAACCCAGGCATGTGCCCTGACTGGAATCAGACCATGACCTCCTGGTTCATAGGTCAACACTCAACCACTGAACCACACCAGCTGGGCATACTACTGTATTTTTTATTAAAAAACCAGTTAAATAAAATAGTGCTTGATTTTATATAAAATTGAAAAAATAAAATAAAAATAAAAATGGGCAAAAGATTTAAATAAATATTTCTTTAAGAATATATACAAATGGCCAATAAGCACATGAAAGAGGCATAAAATAATTAACCACTAGGGAAATGCCAATGAAAAACACAATGAGATACCACTTCACATCCACTAGGATGACTATAATTAAAAGGACAAAATAGCGCTGGTCAGTATGGCTCGGTTGGTTGGAGTGGTGATCATGGGTCTCAGATTCGATTCTGGGTCAGAGTACATACCCTGGTTCAATCCCCAATCGGGGCTCATACAAAAGGCAGCCAATCAATATTTCTCTCTCATATCAATGTTCCTCTCTCTCCCTTACTCTCTCTAAAATCAATTAAAGCCCTGGCAGGTATGGCTCAGTTGGTTGAGCATCATCCCATGCACTGAAAGGTTACTGGTTTGATTCCCGGTCAGGGCACATACCCAGGTTGCCGGCTTGATGCCCAGTCTGGGGTGCTGGCAGGAGGCAGTCGATCGATATTTCTCTTTCACATCGATGTTTCTCCCTCTCCCTTCCTCTCTCTTTAAAACCAATAAAATTAAAATCAATTTTTTAAAAAGGACAATAAAAAAATTTTAAAAAGACAATAGCAAGTATTATGTACAGTAGGTGGGAACATAAAATGGTTCTGCAACTTTGGAAAACAGCTGGCAGCTCCTCAAGAAGTTAAACAGTTACTGGACAACCCAGAAATCCCACTCTTCGGTATATACTCAAGAAAAGGGAAAGCATATGTCCACACAAAAATTGTACACAAATATTCATGGCAGCATCATTCATAATAGCCCATAGGTAGAAACAACTCAAATGGCCATCAACTGATAAAAACAAATGAGGTATTATCCACATAGTGGAATATGATTCAGTCATAAAAAAGAATGAAGTCCTGATACATGCTACAACATGGATAAAGCTTGAAAACATGCCAGCTGAAAGAAGCCAGACACAAGTATATTGTATGCTTCCATTTATTATGAAACGTGTAGAATAGGCAAATCTATAGGCATCGAAAGTATACTAGTGGCTGCCAGGGGTTGGGTGGAAGGAAGAAGAGGGAACGACTACTAATGGGTACAGAGTTTCTTTCTGAGGGGATGCAAATGTTCTGGAATTAGATATTGGTGATAGTTGTATAACTTTGTAAATATACTACACACTACTGATTTGTACACTTTAAGAGGGTGACTTTTATGGTATGTATTATTATGAGGCATTTCTAACTTCTCATTGCTAATTTTTTCATTTTAAAATTGAGATATAATTTACATTATATCTTATTAAAGACATTTGATAAAATTCAGCAGCTATTTTTTTTAAAATCACAAGTAAAATAGGGACTAGAAAGAAACTACTTACATATATTAAATGTCATTACCAAAAACTAGCTGCTAACCTTAACCAAAACAAAGTCATATTAAAACCACTGCAAATATAGTAGCCTACTTATAGTAAGGTTAAAAAAATGCAGTTAGATAAGAACACAACTGGCATAAAATTGGAAAGGAAGAGAAACTATTATTTTGCACTGATGATATAATTGTATACCTGGAAAACCTAAGAGACTCAAGTAAAAAAAATGCTAGTAGTATTAAGAAAATTTGATAAGTTAGTTGCATACTAAATAGATGAACATAAATTAATAGGTTTTTTTTCAAGTGTATCTAGAAATGCTTATAAAAATGATAGAACACTTAGGAATATATTTAACAAGAAAAGGATAAGGCCTACATAAACAAAACTAAAATCTTATTTAAGGACACAAAAAGATTTAAAAATATGAAAAGAAATATCTTGAGTGAAAAGGTTCGTACTTTTAAAAATGTCAATTCTCTTGCCTTAGCAGATTTGGTTCAGTGGATAGAGCATTGGCCTGAGGACTGAAGGGTCCTGGGTTCCATTTCGGTCAAGGGCACGAACTTTGGTTGCAGGCTCCATTGGGGCCCTGGTTGGGGAGTGTGTGGGAGGCAACCAATCGATGTGTCTCTCCCCCTCCCTTCCACTCTCTCTAAAACTGAATGGAAAAATATCCTCGGGTGAGGATTAACCAAAAAAAAACAAAAAAAAAACACACACACAAAAAACCCCCCAACTATTTGAGAGAGAGATTTAATGTAACTCCAATTAAAATTCTCACAGATTTTAAAAATTAGATAAAGTGACCATAAACTTTATACAGAAGAATAAATGCCAAAAAAATAGCAAAGTATGAAAAAGAATGGAGAAGATGTTGGCTTATCAAATATTAGAACATATTATGAAAGCCACTGTGATCAAATCCATACATTATTGAAAGAGGAATGGAAACAATGATCGCTGGGGGAGAATAAATTCCAGTATTTATTATATGACAAAGGTGACATTTCGATTCAGTGGAAAAAGAATGGATTATTTAATAATTTGATGCTAGGACAGCTGGTTAAAAATCTGAAAGAAAATATAGTAGGACCCCTCTTTTCTACCATATACAAAAATAAATTCCTGATGATTACACATTTACATATAAAAAATGAAATAAATATTGGAGACCATATTCACAATATAGGACTAGGAAGAGCTTTTGAATTAAGGCAAGAAATTAAAAAGTTATAAGTGAAAAGAAGGCATATTTAACTATATACAAATTTTAAACTTCTGTGTGGCAAAAACTGGTGATTCCCAATGTATGATCCTTGGACCAGTAGCAGTAGCAGCAGCAGCATCTGGGAATTGGTTAGGAATACAAATTCTTACCTCCCACCCCAGGCTTACTGAGTCAGAAAGTGTTGCTTGGCGCCCAGTAACCTGGGTTTAACAAGCTCTTCAAGTGATTCTGATGCACAGCTAAAGTTTGAGGACCACAAAGTCAATGGACAAAATTAAATTCGGGGGGAAAAAACCATTTGTAACAAAGATAACATTCAGAGGATCAATACTTATACAAATAGTTTTTATAAGTTAATGAGAAAGGAATAACTAAGCAAACAGAAAAATGGGCTAAGCATATCAGAGAACAGCAAATCAAAATATGACAAACATTAAAAATGCTTAAATCAAGCTGCAGTCAGGGAAGTGCAAATTAAAGTCATAATGCACTTTCCATCAAGATAGGAAACATTTAAAAAGAGCCATGGCTGGAGGGAAGCAGGTGCTCTCATTCATTGCTCCTGGAAACATGAATTGGTACAGCCTTTGTGAAAAGCAATCTGGGGATATTTATGAAACTGAAAGTCCATAAATTCAAATGAACAATCTTACTCCTCAGACTCCAGCGCCTAGAAATAAAGGTACTCATAGGTAAAGATAGAGCACAGGATGTTTTTTCACAAGGATGTTTACTGAAGCATTATTTGTACCAAAAAAACACCACGTTGAAATCCAAGTGGATGACCTTCACTGGGGTAGATGAAGAATTCTGGTTTATCTCCAGCATGAAAAGTAATGCAACTATTAAAAAAGAAACCTAGAACAGAGACAGCATCATGAGCTGCATCAGAATCACCCAGACGGCTTCTGGGAACCACTCATTTGCTGGGACCCGTTACCAGTGCCTAAGCCAGTAGGTCTGGGGCGGAGTCCAGAATTTGTGTTTCTAAAAATTCCCAGGTGGTGCTGACACTGCTGGCCCAGGGACTACACTTTGAGAATCACTGGTTTAAGATACTGTTAAGTGAGAAGAGTAAAGTATGAAAAATATATGTAATATAGTCAACTTCTTTATAAATAAAATAAACAATGACTTCCAAAAACCATATACATATGTATATATGCCCATGAAGAAAAATATAGAAAATAGTAGGAAATTAACATGGATTTACCTGTGGGGTAGTAGACAGAGAGTAAGAGGATGCTTTCACACCAGTCTACATATATGTAGTGTGATTTGTGGCAATAGGTACAAAGGAAAAAAACAAAACAACAAATAGTTTCCAGCATTATATTCCTCTGCCTATAACACAGTGATAGGGAAAGTTACTGCACCTCTTGGGCATGAACATACCTGGTAGGAAGACACGGGAGATGGGAGATAGGGGGAGAGTGCAGACTGCGTGAGCATCCTGTTGGGAGTGATGCTGTAAGGACCTGGGTAAAACCTGCAGGAAGGAACCTCGTCAGTCAGGAGTCACAGGAAGAAAGCCGCCCTCCCCTGAGAGACACGGCCACTTCCCACTAAGTGCTGTTCAAAACTCAAGATGAAACATCTTGGACACAGGCGGTTGTCATTTTGAGTTGGCCTGAATATATAAAACACCCTTACCCATTCTGAAGAGCTGTGGAGGGGTCATAGGTCAAGGCCATACCACCCTATAAAGAAAGAACACAGCAGTCATATTGTAAGCCCTTGGATGAGAACAGGAGCAAGGCCAGAATGTCAAGGGTGGGAATGAGTAAAGTGAAGTCTGGACAGCCCAGCCCATGTGGGTCAGCGGTTAAGCATCAACCCAGGAACCAAGAGGTCACCGGTTTGATTCCCAGTCAGGGCACTTGCCTGGGTTTCAGGCTTGATCCCCAGTAGGGGACATGCAGGAGGCAGCCAATCGATAATGTTCCTCTCTCATCAATGTTTCTGTCTCTCTATCTCTCTCCATTCCTTTCTCTCTAAAAATAATAAAAATAAAAAATTAAGTGAAGTCTGGACAAGCTGTTCCAGAGTTTTCCTGGTTGTGCAGGCTGCAAAATCCCACTCAAGACCCACACTGAAGAGCATGCTAGTAGCCAGCTTCTCTCCGTTACAAACTGTAGCTCTCAAGCTTGCCATCTAAGCTCACAGACATCAGGCCATGGTCATTTCCATTCCGTTTTAATAGCCTCAGAGGTCCTCTTACCATGTCTCCATTCCTTGGCCAGGCCCGTCCATTTGGCACAAATTTTCCTTGGTTCTGTCGTTTCTTTGGACCACCGTCAGCAAATTTGCAAAGCAACGGATCTGATGGGGCTACCAAGAGAGAAAGCAGACAGGTAACGGAGTCCCACCTCACTTAGCCTCGCTCACACTCATGCAAAACTCCTCCACATCCTCACTGGAAGTAACAGCCTGTGGCCCTTTCAGCCGGATTCCCAGATGCCTCACCTGGTACTCCAGGGGGTGTCTTAATATATTTTCCATTAAAGTGGGTGATGATGGCTTCACACTTCTCTGTGGATTCCATCCTGAGGAGCACAAGAGGGGTTAGGCTGTAGCTTCTCCAGGATCTGTGTGCTCCCTACATTCAACAAGAATGCCCCAAGTTCCCAGCCCCAAGATGCTCTAACACCTGTGACTATAAAACACAGGTTTCCCCCACACAAATTCAAGACATCAAGAAGAGGCAGCCCAGCTCCTAATGAAGGTTCTCTCAACTGGCTCCCGTAGGAGCCCTGAAAGGAGTCATGGAGGTCTATGAATACATGTTCCAAAGAAGATACTGACGGATGGGCCTACGATTGTGTCTGGCTCATAAATAAGAATACAGTAAACAGAGGCTGTTACTATTACTTTTTATTACAAAATCCCTAATGGAAATTGTTCCTCACTCTAATAAACCTACACAAGCTAAGAATTTTCCAATATTTATTTTTGCTTCTGGTTACTTATCAAGGTCTAATGAGCTATTCATTAAGATTTCATGAGTCTGTAGGAGGAAACAGTAATAAGACAGGGTTAGGGCCCATAGTGATAGAAAAAACAATGTGGGAATACTGAGTTAAAGTATCTTGTTGGGGAAAGAGGACAGAAAATCTAGACTCCAGCTCCTGTTCGTCTCCCAAAGCTATGAGTTAGGACATGCACAAAAGCCCTTTGGACCCATTCTTCATTCCCGCTTTAGAGAAATGATCCATCTACCCTACTACACAAGACTGTATAGATCAAATAAGATAATCTATATAAATGTGTTCTAAAAATCATAAGGGCCCGTATAATACAAGGTACAGTATCTTGCCCTCTTTCCATATTTAAAGTCTCGCTATATTTTCCATGCCAGTAGCCACTAAAAGTATAAACCATTCCGATGACGGTGGTCACTATGAAAGGCCTCAAATGGAATGTTTTAGAGAAAACCACGTTAGGTATCCTAGAGCAGAAGTCTTCAGCTGGGTTACTCCTATTCCTTAGGCTTAAGATTTCATGAGTCTGCAGGAGGAAACAGTAATAGACAGGGTTAGGGCCATAGTGATAGAAAAAGGGTGAGCAGGCATAGAGTTTCAAGAGAATCACTTTCAGAACCTCAACATTCTCATAAACTCTTTCAAAGCTCAAGTCCCCTCTCACAGTCACTCCTCTCAATTTACTTCACACTCTCCCCAAACTCAGAACAAGGCAGTGGGAACTGAGTTACAAATCTTTTTGTAAGTCAGATGCTCCCAATTCTTCCTTCCAACATAAGCTGGAGGACTCTGCAAATTGTCAATTGACACATTTAAAAAAAATCAATTTTGATGATAGATTACCCTGGTTCTTGGCAAATGATTCAAAAGGAATTCAAAGAATTCCTATTTTAACAAAACTCTTCCCATCCCCGCCCTGGTCAGTGTGGTTCAGCTGTTTGGGTGTTGTCCCATGCACTAAAAGACGGCCGGTTTGATTCTCTGTCAGGGCATATATCCTGGTAATGGGCTCGATCCCAGATAGGGGGCATGCAGGAGGCAGTCAATGGATGATTTGATCTCACATTGATGTTTCTCTCTCCCTCTCTTCTTCTCTCTCTAAAAAATCAATTTTTAAATCTTTAAAAAACACACAAAAATCTCTTTTCATTCCCATTTACTTATTTGTATGAACAAAGTTTCTCACCGTGAAAACAAAACACAGGAACAGAATTGATATTAAACCCTGTCTTGTTACAGCAGTAAACAATATTCACTGACGGCTGCACGACCTAACTAGAAAAATCTAAACAAAATAAAACTTTTTCATTGCATAGGAGAAGCATTTCCAATAAAATTTACTTTCCATAGAATAACTTTGTGTCAACATTTAAATATACTTAGATTGTCTGGGGCAACTGTGAACTAAACATTATAAAAAGAATTTTCATCCTAGTCAGTTTGGCTCAGTGAATAGAGCGTCGGCCTCCAGACTGAAGGGTCCTGGGTTCGATTCCAGTCAAGGGCACATGCCTGGGTTGCGGGCTCAATCCCCAGTAGGGAGTGTGCAGGAGGCAGCCAATCAGTGATTCTCTCTCATCATTGATGTTTCTATCTCTTCCTCTCTGAAATCAATAAAAGATATATTTGAAAAAGAGAATTTTCTTATGGGCTAATACATATATAGCCTCAGGGCCACTGAAAAAAATTTTTATTTATATACATGTTTTTATTGCAGAGAAGTGTGACAGAATGGGCCATAAAAAGACTTTCAACTAAAAAAATGTTTTACACTAGAATACAATACAAATGGAATAAGAATATAAGATCAAGAAGAAAAAAATGGAATGTTATAAGAAAGATGTAAGACTTATAACAAAAAAGAAATGCCCTATGTATTTTCAAAATGGATGGTTTTGTGTATCAAATTGCTATGACATTTAGATCTCATTGGATATACTGAAAAATTATATAACAGTATGATTTAAAATATCAATGTTTATAATTTGCTGGAAATCATACTTAGCAAGAACCTAAATGTTTCAAGAAAATTTGTAGTTATTAATGTAGAAACATGCAAGAGATTTCATAGTTTTTCAAGTCTTTAAAGCCACAGTTCCCAAACTGGGCTCTGGGACACCTGGGTCATTGTGGTGTGCTCGCAGATCCACAGCAAGGAATATTTTAATTTTCTGAAGAAAATACAGCAACATCTGTTGGATACTGTGTGAGCAACTAACTCTAAATAGTTCACCACTGCAACAACAGATCACCCTACAATCCTTTTGATAACGTATTTTTGCAAAGCTGGTTTTTCAACGGTTGCTATGACAAAAGCAAGCACCATAAGAAAATCAATGTATAACAGGAAATGAGAGTATAGTGTCCGATCAGATCTCAAGGTTTGACAAGTTGTTCAGTTTCCAACAGGTACACATCCCATTTGTAAGTATAGTTATTTAACGTTGCAATATATTTCCTCTTTCAACATATTTTCTCAAGTAGCTATAAAATTGCTAAGATATGAACAATTTTTAAAAATATATATTTTTATTGATTTCAAAGAGAGAGAGAGAGCTAGAAACATCATCAATGATGGGAATCATCGGCCAGCTGCCTCCGGCACGCCCCACACCAGCGATCGAGCCTGCAACCTAGGCATGTGCCCTGACCAGGAATCGAACTCAAACCTCCTGGCTCATAGGTGGATGCTCAATCACTGAGCCACATCAGCCAGGAGAGCTATGAATACTTTTTGAGTTGTTTATACCATTTAATTACTTAGTAAATTGGACTGTTAAGTGTGTGTGTGGGGGGGGGTTGGTCTTGGGAAAAAAATTAATAAGACAACTGTGGTGCCAGGATCTGAAATGCGTTGGGAACCTCCGCTTTCAAAGAGTATGGGAACAAAAATGTTTGATGACCACAAGCCTCAGAACTCTTTTAGTTATACTGGGATTGCCAGTAGGTGGTACTATCAAGAGTGAGTTGGCTAGCCCTAACCGGTTTGGCTCAGTGGATAGAGCGTTGGCCTGCGAACTGAAGGGTCCCAGGTTTGATTCCGGTCAAGGGCATGTACCTTGGTTGCGGGCACATCCCCAGTAGGGGGTGTGCAGGAGGCAGCTGATCGATGTTTCTCTCTCATCGATGTTTCTAACTCTCTATCCCTCTCCCTTCCTCTCTGTAAAAAATCAATAAAATATTTAAAAGAAAAGAGTGAGTTGGCTAGAGAAGCCCTATTCCTAGTTCCCACGGTTTGAAACACTCCAGAGTAAGGGTATGTTCTTGGGCCAGACAAGATATAAAACAAAAAGGGACCTTAGTCCAATAGTTTTCAAACTTAAAGAAAAAACAAACACAACAGAATCTCCTTTCAAACAAAATCTTAAGATAAAGAAAAGCAGAACCTAGCTGGTTTGGCTCAGGGGATAGAGCGTCAGCCTGCGGACTTAAGGGATTGAAGGGTCCTGGGTTTGGATTCTGGTCAAGGGCACATGCCCTGGTTGTGGGCTTGATTCCCAGTAGGGGGCGTGCAGGAGGCAGCTGATCAATGAGTCTCTCATCATTGATGTTTCTATCTCTCCCTCTCCCTTCCTCTCTGATATCAATTAAAAGAAGAAGAAGAAGAAGAAGAAAAAGAAGAAGAAGAAGAAGAAGAGGAAGAAGAAGAAGAAGAAGAAGAAGAAAAGCAGAACAATTTCTTAAGTAGGACAGGGGAAGCTGATGCCCTACAACAACAATGACACCTAAGCACAGAGGAGGGTACGCTAGAGAGCTCTGCAGCACGAGGGACACCACTCTTCTAAATCAACCTCCACAGCCCAGCTGGCGAGGCTCAGTGGTTGAGCGTTGACCTATGAACCAGGAGATCAAGGTTCGATTCCTGGTCAGGGCACACACCCGGGTTGCGGCCTCCATCGCCAGTGGGGGCCATGCAGGAGGCAGCCAATCAATGATTCTCTCTCATCATTGATGTTCTATCTCTCTCTCCCTCTTCCTTCTTCTGAAATCAATAAAAATATATATTTTAAAAATAATAATAAATCAATCTCCAGAGTCGACCAAGACTCATAAAGGTCTGCTATCACATGGACAGTTAGTGGCAGAGTTGGTTCCAGAATCTAAGTCTCTCAACAGGTCTGAAAGGTAGACCAGATCTTCCACTTCATCCTAACTGACCTGGAAGCCAGAAGTATTAGGGCTCTGTTTCTACCACCCACTCCTGTGACACCTGGAACAAGTCACTTCATATCGGGAACTTTGGTTTCCTTATCTATTACATGGAGAGTTAATATTTCACAGGGTGGTAGTAATGATTAAATGAGACAATAGGAAGATACAGAACACTTGCTTTATGGGCTTGTACAGTACCAGTGACATTAAATCTATAAGAAGGTACAGAATTATTTTATTCTGGTTGTGTCTGGATCAAAGGAACAAAGGCTAGAGTAGCAGAAGGTAGTGGGGACAAGGATTTGGGGCACGTGAACTTTTTAGTATTGTGACCTACAATGAAATAAACCTGATTTACTATTGATAGGGACGTCCTCTTATCTGATAGAGAGAGCACCTGAATTAATCTGAAAAATAATCATATTATTTTAAATCTTAGAACACATATACTTATGTGAATAGGGGGTTAAATTTCTTACATGCGAATAGGGGGTTAAGTTTTTCTTAAGTTTCCTTTTCAAAGCCTGTGCCAAGCGATCGAGGAGGTGACTCAGCTGTGAATCCAGCAAGCAGAACCGATAAGCATAGTCAGGCCAACTCACCAGGAGTCAAAACATCACCTCATCAACATCATCTCATCGCCTGATGACTAAAGGATAATAGCTGAGTCCACTCCTGGCCTCACCCCGGCCCCTTCCCCTCTACAATCCTGTCCCCTGCCCCTGCTGGAAGGCAGGATTTGATGCTTGTAAGCGTGCTGTCTTCTGGGTTGGCTCGCTCTTCAATAAACGCCCCATATGATTCACCCTTGCCTTCCTTATTGGACACAGTGACAGGCAGGACAGGCAGCCGGAGCCCAACCGGGGGTTTCCTGGTAACAGATTTTGTGACATTCTTCATTAACGACATCATGTCCCATTCTCGGCGTCCCTCACCTTGCAAAGCCAACCCCTCTGCTGGTCCCGCTGGTGTCTCGAAGGATTCGAGTGGAGATAACTTGGCCAAAGGGCTTCAGCATTCCCTCCAGTTCTTGCTCATCCATTGACAGCGGGAGGTTTGATATGTACAAATTTGTAGGGTCCTGCTCCTGTTGCTATGGAAATAAAAGAGAGAAAATGAAGCTCACATCTCAGCCTTCATCCACAACATAATATCTCAGAAAAAAAGATAACAGGAAGGGTCCCACATAAACAAAGAGAGTCTTAACTATTTGTAACAAACATCTAGCCCTACTACCGTGGATTGTATATTGAGCCCAGACCCCCCCCCCCCCCAAAAAAAAAAGAGAAAGCAGGTTTAATATCATTAGTACTGTACAAGCCCATAATACGAGTCATTGATAAAGATTTGGCTGTCCCTTTAAGAACTAGGCAGAGCAGCACTCCCCTCCCCCAGCAGCCGTCCCAGAGGCAGGATTCTCTTGGACCGCCTGTTCGCTGGCTGGATTGTTTTGAGTAATCCCCCCGCACCCCCCTTCCGGCCACAGCAGACTCCTCTGAGTAGGAATGCCTGCTCACTCCCTGACGGAGGGAAAGCAGGAAGAGGGGAGAGGGGAGGAGGAGGACGGGAAGGCTATGTGCTGGGCTGCACCGAGGGCCACATGCCTAGCTCACTGGCCCCCAGGAGCCCTGAAAGCCCTGGTCACCGGAGCTCTGCAGAGCCCTCCACTCCGCTGCCAGGCTTTTCTACAGGAGACGGAGGCGGGGAGCCCTCCCAGCGGGCAAAACGTATACAGTGGCTACCGCGTCCCACAGCTGGATTGTTGAGAATTTCAGCAGCCACTCTGCTCTAGGCTGTGGGTCACAAGCAGCCTTAATCCCTCTTCTGCCCTTCCCTTCAGGGCTCCCATTTTCTTTAATTTTAGCAGAAGGTGGCTGGCTGCCCTGCCTCATCAGCGCCACAGAATTCACAGCGACTTCAGACGGGCGAGAGGGCAGTGCCGCCGGAGAGAACGGGGAGGGAAAGGCTCTGGATTCCTGGGAGTCCCGACGGAGAGAAAAGCTCCAGGCAGATGTGAGGAGGGACCGTCTGCTTCCCGCCGGACGTCCCTCCCCCCACGCCCCACCACAGAACCACCCCACCCCAGGGAACAGTGCTGGGAGGTGGAACGCATTGTTCTGAACTGCTGAGATGCACAACTGGCTTCCCAGAGAATGTTGCAAAACTCCCACAGGCTGTGTGGCAGGGAAGTGCGGAGCCGGTGGGGATGGGGAACCGGGGGAGGAAGGGAGCAGGCCTCTGCACCCTCCTGCCTGCTGACCGTCCTGGACAGAGCGACCTCCAGCAGCCAAGCGGTGCCAAACGGGTCCCAGGCCCAGGCTGTCTTTGGCCAGATAATAGTAACAAAACCACTGCAGGCGGCCTTTGCCCGTCAGCATCGTGGCTCTAGAGGCCCCTGGAACCTTGGAACTGGACCTTGTTGCTCACCACACCCCCTCGGAGGGGAAGCCCTGGGCAGCACCCTTACCTTTGCCATCTGTGCCTGGACGCCGCTGGCTTTCAGTGCTGTCACGGCCTTCTGTGCGGCCGAAGGACTGTCGAAGTCCACAAAGCCATAGCCTGGAATGGAAACAGCATCACTGGGCGGTGGGGGGAGACGGGGAGGAGGCCCCGGCTTTTCGGGAGAGGAGGAGGGCTGTGATCCATGTAATACAAGCGGGAGGGAGGTTTCAGGTCATTATCCACCTGCTTCTCAAACCCCGTGAGGTTTGGTCTGTTTTTTAAAGAATATGTCTGTATTGATTTCAGAGAGGAAGGGAGAGAGAAATATCAATGATGTGAGAGAATCGTCATCATGATCAGCTGCCTCCTGCACACCCCTTACTGGGGATGGAGCCCCCAACCCGGGCATGTGCCCTGACCGGGAATGGAATTCATGACCTCTTGGTTCAAGGGTTGACACTCAACCACGGAGCCACACGCTGCCGGGCGATTTCAGTTACTTTAAAGCTAAGCGTGCCCAGGGCAGTAAGGTCCTTGTGGTGTCCTGGCCTTTCTCCCTCCCTCAACAGATATGAGGCTTCAGGAAGGAGCCTCTTCTAATAATCTACAGCACCCCCACTCTGACTTCTTCAAAAAACAACCCTTCCTCTTTTCTAGCCACACCCAGAATGCTAGGCAAGGGAATACAGCCTCTTTTTAAAAGTATATAGTTTTATTGATTTCAGAGAGAAAGGGAAAGGGAGAGAGAGAAACATCAATGATGAGAGCGAATCATTGATTGGCTGCTTCCTACACACCCCTACTGGGGATCGAGCCCACAGCCCAGGCATGTGCCCTGACTGGGAATCGAACCGTGACCTCCTGGTTCATAGGCCGATGCTCAACCACAGAGCCACACTGGCCAGGTGGGAGTACAGCCTCTTTATGGCAGATAACCAGCTACCTGCTGGAAGAAGCCATTCTCCACTTCAACCTACATACTTTTCCTCCCCTACAATTCTTACATCTCCACCTAAAACTGCTCAAAACCCAACAAAACTGTTAATCCTCACAAAATAATACCTACCAAGTCATCCACCTACTACCACCAAAAAGCCTTTACAATGCTTTGCTAAAGAGAAATAATCTCACCTGCCCATATACACCATCCAGTCCAGGGGAGCATGAGGTTCAAAGGAAGCCCAAGGGACTCCAAGACTCTTTCGTGCAGACTTCAAGCCTTAGGTCCCCAAAATAGCATTTGCAGCTCTAGCTATCTGGTCACCAAAGAACCTAAATATCTGCTAGTCTTAAAACATTTTTATTGATTGATTTTTAGAGAGAAAGTGGGAAGAGAGGAAGGAATATCGGTTTGTTGTTCCACTTATTTATGCATTCATTGGTTAACCTTTGCATGTGCCCTGACCGGGAATCAAACTGGCAACCTGGGCGTATCAGGACGATGCTCTAACCAGCTGAGCTACCTGGCCAGGGCTCTGCTGGTCTTTTAAGTCTGAAAACCTCTGAGATTTCTCTCTGGCCTTGGGTACTCGGGACCTTCAGCAGTAAAGGGCAGGGACAGGGAGGGGCTCACGCACAGCTGCTCTCCGGGACCAGGACAGCTCTTCTCACCTTTGCATTTGTTTGTGGTCTTGTCCAGTATGGCCTTAGTGGAGACAATCTTGCCATATCTAAGGGAGAAGAAAACGCAAAGTGATCATCTGGGGGCAGCTGTGTAGGAAAGGACAGAGAAGGAGGCATCTGGATGAACCCAGGTCCTTTCTCCACTCCCACTACGACACTGATCCTACCCAAACCTTAATAACAGGCAAAGAGAAGATGAATTTAAAATGTTAGACTTATCATGTAAACCTAATTCCCAAAGCTCCCCACAAGAAATAAGGCAACTGTGGTCCAACACGTTTCTCTTCTTCTCCAACTAAGATTCAGACACTAGTTAGAAAGAGATTAGTGTCTTTTCAGGAGAGAAGCTTGGCATGCACATGGCAGAATGCGCAAGGGCAGCGCTCAGGCAGGAATTCCTGAAAGCAACCCTTGACGTTACTTATCTTCTTTTGGACGAACACCATTCCGCCTATGAAAAACCTATAGACATTTATCTTCTCTGACACCCAGTTCCCTATCCCTCTACTGATTGAAGGTCAACCTGAACCAAATGTCTTGTGTTCAAATCCTGGTTCTGCCTCTTTGTAGCTATGTGTGATCTTGGACAAGTCATTTAACCTTTCCGTGCCTCAGTCTCACCATCTGTAAGTCAGGAATAGGATTGCTGGGAACAGGAAATGAGTTCATAAATATAAAGCACGAGTGTCTACCACGTGGTAAACATGTAAACACTCTTAACTGTTATCACTGTTATTATATTCGAGTGACCTCAGCTTTAATCTACTGCAAATGGCTCTCCTGCTTTACTGTATTCTAAAACTTCTATTTCTCATTGTCAAGATTTGAGTGTGCTAGGAGGGGAGTGGGCACACAACCAGGTAAGAGAATTATCCAGCCCTTGCCGGTTTGGCTCAGCGGAAAGAGCATCGGTTTATGGACTGAAGGGTCCCTGGGTTTGATTCTGGTCAAGGGCATGTACCTTGGTTGCAGGCTCGTTCCCCAGCCCTGGTCGGGGTATGTGCAAAGGCAACCAATCGATGTGTCTCTCTCACATTGATGTTTCTCTCTCTGTGTGTCTCTCTCTCCCTTCTACTCTTTCTAAAAATCAATAGAAAAATATCCTCAGGTGAGGATTAACAAAAAAACAAAAACAAAAAAAAAAAACAAAAAGGAAGGAAAATTATCCAAAACTTGATGACAAGGCAAAACGATGATTGCATATCCTTTCAACATCATTCTGGAATATTGTCTAAAAGGCCCACTCAAGCCCAGCCAGCATGGCTCAGTGGCTGAGCATCAACCTATGAACCAGGAAACCACAGGTTTGATTCCCAATCAGGGCACATGCCCAGTTTTGTGGGCTCACTTTCCAGTGGAGGGTCATGCAGGAGGCAGCCGATCAATGATTCTCTCTCATCACTGATGTTTCTATCTCTCTCTCTCCCTCTCCCTTCCTCTCTGAAATCAATAAAAATATATATTTTAAAATAAATAAATAAATAAAATAAAAGGCCCACTCAAGGTACGTTTTATTATCTAGCGAGTTGTTTCATTTACTATTTACTACTGATCAGGGCCCAGGCTTAGTGAAGATACATACTAACCCGTTGATTTTTATCCAGCAGAAATGCAAATAATTTCTGTCCAGTAGAAAAGAAAATCCCAAAGGTTACTGTTTTATTGTTCTTTGGAATATGAACCAGTTTTGTATGTAACCCAGCAATCTCATTTCAACATTCTCTTTCCCGTACCTATAAACACTCAGTCCCTCAAATGCTTTTTGAACTCACTTTACCTTCCTGCTGGGTCCCTCACCAATGAGTGGAATAAATCTTTGGCATGTGTTCACCTATATTTGTATGACAGTCATGTTTTCGACATGTTGAAAGAGCATACGTTGGCAGCAGAGTGGCGTGTCACACGTCAGGGATTGTATGAGCAGTGTTCCACTAGAAAAATTCTCTCCTCTCCACTCCAGGAGGGTGAAAATATTAAAGAGAGAACAGATGACACGACCAAAGTTACAAGATTTAACTGAAACCGCTTAGCAGGGACTGACTTTAAGACCAATATCTCAAAGAAGCATTTTTCCTGCCACTCTTATCCCTAAAGCTTGTGGGATGGTTGATGTATGTGTTTCGCTCCTTGGCGACCTCTCACTGACTTTTTTAGTGGGGCTTCTTCGAACCAATGGATTAGAAAGAGTAAGCTAAGCCATGCCCTGGAGGCCGGGAAAAGAACACATGAAAATGGGGGGAGGAGGGGTGATCCTAGCTCTTCAGGGCTACGTACTTGGATTCTTTCCCAAATTTAGGCAAAGGAAGAGCCGCTGAGACTAGGCCAGAGGACACGCACGCTGCTATCCCTGCGGAGGCCCCAGGGTGGAGCTTGCTGTGGTCTGAGCAGCCTGAGACTGAGCTCAGAATTTCCAGGCAGCTGGCAGCCGCCGCGCCGCTCCCGCCGCCTCCCCCTCAGACGGAGCCCCTCCAAGAGAACTGCGAGCTCCAGTCCCAGACTCCACGCCTCTCCTCCCCACCCGCCAGGGCTTAGGATCCAGCCACTCGTACTTCCCCGGCAACCCGGAGAGAGACCAACTGGGACAAAGGCAGGACGTCCTTCTGCGCATAGGAAACACCCTTCCTAGAAAGGTTTGACTCCCAGCTCAACGCGTCCATGAGGGGTCTACTCGCCTCCCTTTCATCATAAGTCACCTGGCACCCACGCTTTCCCGGCCTCGCTGCCGCCTCTCCACAGTCCCCTTTCGGACTCCTCACTTCCATCCTACATGCTGACCCTGACTGTGTTCATCCCTTCAGACACAGCAGATGGCAAGGCAACTGCTGGGAAAAACTGAGTTTTTTCCCTGTCATGTGGCAGGAGATTTTTGTAGCACAATATCTCTAGGACAAGAAACACAGGTGCGGAATGAAGGAATTAGACTGATAAGTATTCTTTTCCCTCAGGAACCAACATTTCTGCCAATTTCCATTCCCCCAAAACATTACTAGTCCTACACTAAGTGCCATTGAAATACCTTTCTAGCAAGGTAAGTTGCGTTAAAGGAACCCGTGTTATACATACATCTAGCCTTTAGAGGTTGAGTTTGTGTAGCCTGGTGCTAACAAAAACATCCATATGATTTGCAAACCACATCAGAAGAGTCAGGGATTGATGGAGTGCATAGGATGCCTCGCACAACTATATTTTGCAGGCAGAGTTCTGCTTCTCTAGGACGTGGAGCCCTGGGACTTACATGCATAGTTGTGGGAGCCCGAATTACCGTGACCACTTCAGAACACTGTCCAGCAATATCAACAGAAGCTGAACAAATGCACATCCTCTGAGTCAGCAATTTTACTCGTCGGGATAGACCCAACATAAATGTGTACACACGTGACCAAAAGACATGTACAAGCTCAGAGCAGCACTGTTCCTATGGAAGTGGACACCTTTGGGATGGGATAGTAACTGAGAGGCGGGCTTCTGAAGAGTTGGCGGTGTTCTGTTTCTTGATCTGGTAACAATAAGGGTGTGTTCACCGTGTAAAAACTCACTGTTGTAAATACGCTTACGATTTGTGCATTTTTCCGTGCACTTGTTATACTTCAAAACGAAGTTTTTTAAAAATGGTAAATTTACATAATCGACGGTTCCAATTTTTCTCCTTCGACCATCCACTTACCAAAATTCAGTTTTCCTTCTCCCCAGTAGTGTTCCCATTCCATCCCCCGACTTTTCCTCTAGATTATTTGAAACATATACTTTTTCTGCCTAAAGGAAATGAACTGGCATTTCGACACACTTGCAGTTTTTCCAGGATTCTTAACTAGGCTAATTCCATAATAGTTACCTCCACCTTCTACTCTGAAGAACCCCAGATGTCTTTAGAGGGAAGATGCAGAGTAACCGCCTCTTCCTCCACCTTCTTCTTTACCCGCTAATCTGAGGGCTTCTCTGGCTCACTGGGTACATCTCCAGCAGCAGAAACTCTTCTAAGTATATAATTCAATTGACTAGTCCCACTTGCTTACATCCCTCACTGCCTTTGGAGATACTGAATATTTCTATTCAAGGTGTAAGGATAGGAATCTTTCCACGAAGACCATTAATTCTAGATACTTGCTAGAAACAAAGTCATACACTAGGCTTTAAAGGCCAGCCTTATCCTGGCTTTTCTCAGAGAAACAAAAGGTTTTATATATTAGTAGCAGGTAGAATTTCTTTAAGAGGGGCTGCTGAGAAACCTTATGACTATGGAGTAGAAGCAAAATAATATTGTATTTCAGGATAAGAGTATCTGGCAACAAGCCAGTATCACCCAATCCATACTGTCCCTGGAAGCCTACCCACACATACCCCAACTTACGACTGACACAACTTGACAAGGTCCTGGTCAGTAGTGCCCGGCTGCAAACCCCGGATGTAGAGGTTGGTTTTGCTCAGCTGGTCATTTCCATTGCTCCCACTGCTGCTGTTAGGCGTACTGTTGCTTGGACTAGGTGGTGCCATCTGCTGAGACAACGACACATATGGCTGCAAGGAGACATAAGGAACAGAAGGTCAAAAGGATTACACATGTAGATGTCGGAGAGTGAGGAAGATCCTGGCACCTTGGAAAGAATGATTTTGCCCTGGCTGGTTTGGCTCAGTGGATAGAGCGTCGGCCTGCGGACTGAAGGGTCCTGGGTTCGATTCTGGTCAAGGGCACATGCCTGGGTTTCGGGCTCGATCCCCAATAGGAGGCATGCAGGAGGCAATCGATCGATGATCCTCTCTCATCATTGATGTTTCTTTCTCTCTCTCCCTTTCCCTTCCTCTCTGAAATATATATATATATAAAATAAAGCACCCCAAAAAAGAAAGAATGATTTTAAACTTTAATAGCAATGAACTTGATAGGAGAGTTTAAAAAAAATAGTAAAGGAATTCCTGTCTGCCATAGAATAAATAAGTACATAATTGTCTTACCTATTTTTCAGGAATAATGAGAGGCCAAAATAAGCTTGTTAAGGTTTGAAAAAAGGTACTTTGTTATAGTGAAATGTTTTTATCACACAGATGCTAGAGAACACAATGTATGCCTCTTAAGTAAATCGTATCATTTAGACAAGACTAATAAAATCGAGGTTCCATTAAAAAATGATGAAGACGAAATAATAAAAACTTATCAAATCACAAAGGTAAAAATAAGTTTAATATTTTTATGAACAAGATTACTCATAAAACTGTAGAATAACTGCAAAATACATGCAAGAGCTTGAAAATTATTGTAAATTTGGACAAATAAAATACTAATTACCATATCGGGTAGTAAAAAATGAAATTTTTATAATGATAATAGGGGTTTAGTCAATTCTAAGTTATTTACAAGTTTTAAAAATTTAAATAAATGAATAATAGATACATTATGGTCAAGCAATCTAGGATGGGGGTGAAACACCTCTCATCTTTCACTAGTGATACAAGACGGAACCAGACTCTGCTAAACATTTTTAGGTTCTTCTATTAGAGATGAAATACCAGGCTGGCTGGAACGTGGATCCATTCCTTCATGGCATATTTTAGATCCTTATGCTCTGTGTTTAATAAAACTCTAAATCTGCATAATTACCTATAATATAGTACATTTTACTACATCACACTAAGATTCCAGTTCTCCACTGGCTTAAAGCACTTGATAGAATAAATCTATTAGGAATTATTTTAAAATGCTAGTTTCATCTCCAGGTCTCTCTCTCTCTCTCTCTCTCTCTCTCCCTCCCTCCCTCCCTCCCTCTCTCTTTTTCTCTCTTGTTTTGGTGGTGATGGTGGTAGTGAGGAATTGGATTAGTAACAGAAGAAAAGAGAACCATAAATATCAAAGAGGGAAATCTTCCCCCAAAGAATCTTAATTCATGTAAAATATGCCTTTTATATTTCATGCCTCTGACCTTTAGCAAACTTCAAAATCAAAGTCTTGCCCGCCAGTGTGGATCAGTGATTGAGCATCGACCCACGAACCAAGAAATCTCTGATTTCTGGTCAGGGCGCATGCCCGGGGGTGTAGGTTGCGGGTTCTATCCCCAGCTGGGGAGGTGCCGGAGGCAGCGGATCGATGTTGATGTTTCTATCTCTCTCTCCCACCCTCTCTCTCTAAAAATTAATAAAAACATTTAAAAAAAAACTTTACTCAGGCTAAGATATGTTAAAGCAGGTATTTCCCCACCTTTATCAGATCAGGCATACCTTGGAGATACTGCAGGTTCGTTCGGTTCTAGACACCACAATAAAGCGAGTATTACAATAACGCAAGTCGCACACATTTTTTGGTTTCCCAGTGCATATAAATAAATGTTTTCACTATACTCTCGTTTATTAAGTGTGCAATAGCATTATGTCTAAAAGCATTATGTATTATACATACCTTAATGAGAAAATACTTTATTGCCAAAAAATGCTAAGCTTCATCTGAGCCCTCAGCGAGTCATAATCTTTTTGCTGGTGGAGGGTCTTGCCTCAGTGTTGATGGCTGCTGACTGACCAGGGTGGTGGCTGTGAAGGCTGGGGTGGCTGTGCCAATTTCTTAAAATAAGGCAACAGTGAAGTTGGCCACATTGACTGACTGTTCCTTTCACAAATGATTTCTCTATAGCAGGTGAGGCTGTTTGATAGCGTATTAACCACAGTAGAACTTCTTTCAAAATGGGGGTCAATCCTCTCAAACCCTGCCACTGCATTAGCAACTAAGCTTATATAATATTCTAAATCCTTTGTTGTCATTTCAACAATCTTCCCAGCATCTTCACCAGGAGTAGATTCCATCTCAAAATACCACCCTCTTCGCTCATCCGTAAGAAGTAACTCCTCATTTGTCTCATCACGAGATTGTAGCAATTCAGTCCTATCTTCTGGCTCTACTAGTTTTCTGGCTCTTTCTTTTCCCACCATACCTGCAGTTACTTCCTCCGCTGAAGTCCTGAACCCCTCAAAGTCATCACGAGTGTTGGAATCAACTTCTTCCAAACTCCTGTTAATGTTGATATTTTGATTCTTCCCATAAATCGCAAATGTTCTTAATGGAACACAACACGGTGAATCCTTTCCAGAAGGTTTTCAATTTACGTTGCCCAGATCCATCAGAGGAGTCACCCCTAACAATGGCAGCTATAGACTAATGAAATGTGTTTCATTTTTTCAATAGATTTTTTTTTTTAGAGAGAGGAAGGGAGAAGGAGAGGGAGAGAGAGAGAAACATTGATGTGAGAGAGAAACATCGATGTGAGAGAGAAACATCGATCGGTTGCTTCCCGTACCCACCCCCGGACCCAGACCAAAACCACAACCTGGGCATGTGCCCTGACAGAATCAAACTGGCAACCTTTCGGTGCACGGGATGATGCTTAACCAACTGAGCCACAGTAGCCAGAACTGAAATTTGTTTCTTAAATAATAAGACTTGAAAATCAAAATTACTCCTTGACTCATGAATGTTGTGTTCCATGAATACTTTAATCTCCTAGTACATCTCCATCAGAGCTCTTGGGTGTCCAGGTGCATTGTCAACGAACAGTAATATTTTGAAAAGAATCTTTTTTTTCTGAGCAGTAGGTCCCAATAGTGGGCTTAAAATATTTAATAAACCATGTTGTAACCAGATATACTGTCATCCAGACTTGATTGTTCCACTGATAAGGCACAGGCCAAGTACCTTTGGCATAAATCTACTTACGGGCTCTAGGATTAGGGGAATGGTAAATGATCATTGGCTTCAGTTTAAAATCACCAGCTACATTAGCCCCTAATAAGAGAGTCAGCCTGCCCTTTGAAGCTTTGAAACCAGGCATTGGCTTCTCTCTAGCTATGAAAGTCCTAAATGGCATCTTCTTCCAGTACAAGGTTGTTTTGTCTACATTGATTGAAAATCCATTGTTTAGTGTAGATGCCTTTATTAATTATCTCAGCTAGATCTTCTGGATAACTTGCTTCAGTGTCTACATCAGCACTTGCTGCTGCACCTTGTACTTTTAAAATTATATTATATATATACATATACATATACATATACATATACATATACATATACATATACATATACATATATGTTTTTATTAATTGTAGAGAGAGAGGAAGGAAGAGGGAGAGAGAAAAACATCAATGAGAGAGGAGCATCATGGATTGGCTGCCCCCTGTATGCCCCCTATTGGGAATGGAGACCCCAGCCTGGGCAGCGCCCTGACCTGGAATCAAACTGGAGACTTCTCTTCTCGGTCCATGGGACACTCAACCAGAGCTGTGCTTTGCACTGTTATGTACGGAGACGGCTACTTTCCTTAAATCTCATAAACCAACTTCTATCTTCACACTTTCCTCCTGCAGCTCTCACCTCTCTCAGCCTTCATAGTATTGAAGAAAGTGAGGGCCCTGCTCAGGATTAGGCTTTGGCTTAAGAGTGCTGTGGCTGGTGTGGCCTTCTATCCAGACCACGACAACTTTCTCCATATGAGCGATAAGGCTGTTTCTCTTTCTTATCACTCATGTGTTCACTGAAGTAGCACCTTTAATTTCTGTCAGAAACTTATCCTTTGTGGCCCAAACTGGTGTTCTCAGTGGCTAGAGCATCAGCCCCACACACCAATGCATCTCAGGTTCAAGTCCTAGTCAAGGGCATGTGCCTGGGTTGCAGGTTTGATCCCCAGCTCCTGTTAGAATGACTTATTTAAAAAAACAAAAACAAGAAATAACAAATGCTGGCACAGATGTGAAGAAAAGGGAATCCTGAAGCACTATTGGTGGGAATATAGAATTAAAAACAGTCTGGACCTACACACCCACAAACACACACATCCACATCTACAAAAATAAATAAAAATAAGAACAGTATGGAGCTTCCTCAAAAAATTAAAAATAGAACTTCATCAGTTCCATCAGTCCCACTTCTGAGTATGTATCCTAAGGAGATGAAATCACTATCTTAAGAGGTATCTGTACTCCCATGTTCATTGCAGTATTAGCCACAATAACTAAGACATGGAAACAACCTAAGTGCCCATCAATGGATAAATAGGTAAAGAAAATGTGAGATATATATGATTCAGACATTAAAAAAAGAGAAGTAAAGCCCTAGCTGGTTTGGCTCAGTGGATAGAGCATTGGCCTGGGGACTGAAGGGTCCTGGTATTGATTCCTGCCAAGGGCACATGTTCAGGTTGTGGGCTTGATCCCCAGTGGGGGGTGTGCAGCAGGCAGTCAATCAATGATTCTCTCTCATTATTGATGTTTCTTTCTCTCTCTCCCTCTCCCTTCCTCTATGAAATCAATAAAAATATATTTTAAAAAAAGAAGAAGAAGTAAATTCTGCCATTTGCAACAGCTTGGATGGACCTGGAGAGTGTGATGCTGAGCAAAATAAGCCAGTCAGAGAAAGACAAGAATCACATGATCTCACTCATATGTGGACTCTAAAGAACAAAATAAACTGTTGAACAAAATAGATCCAGAGACACAGAAGCACGAAACAGACTGTCGAATCTTAGAGGGAAGGGGAGGTTGGTGGG